CTCTGGTCTGTTCCTCTGAAACACACTTCTCTCTCTTTTCCTGGGATGCATTAGCAATGATAGTAGATCAAAAGTCTTGTTTCCAGGTCTATATGTATAAGACATATCTACTTTAGTCCTTCCAAATGTAAGATATATAGTATTTCCTCCATATTTACCTAATTTACAGATGGAGAACTTATAATTAAAAAGGTCAAACAATATTACAAAAGTTAAACAGCTAGTGAGTGACATAATTGGGTTATACCAAACATATACCTGTCTCTAAGTTGCAGTATATTGGCAACATTCTGCTGCACCTCCTGAACCTCAGGCATAAAGCCTGTGTTTTATCTTGAAGAAGCTGAGTCCGTCATCTGAGAACAGCACAGGTGGGGATATGGTAAGCTGAGGACATTAGGAGCAGATTTCCCACTCTTCATGCCTTAAACTTTTTCCACATTGTACAATCTTAAGAGCTTTAGAGAGTTGGTTGATCTGCAATTAAAATCATCTTCAGATGGCCTAACCCTGAGATATGTGGGGCAGAATCAAGGCATAATCTGGGTAAAATTATAAAATAGCTGATGCTTATCTCCAGTGCCCTCATAGCTTTGGTTTTAGTATTTTTTTTCCTCCATACCAGGTGCCTCTTCATAACTCAGGGATTTAAGCTTCGTTGTGATCAGACCTGTCTTTCAGAATCACTAAAATGCCGGACCACTTTCTCTTCCTGCTTCCCACTCATTCATACAATTACTGATGTTCTTTCCTAATACTTTCTGATCTGCATTATGAAATAAATTCATATTTCATTCTGCAATGACCAACACTTAGCTGCTCTTCCTTTGGACAGGAACCAATTTACCCTCTCCATCTAATGATGTTAATATCTGGCAACAAAACTGCTCTCTGATGCATCCCAACTTTGTTGACATTTTATGTGTAGAAGCAGCAGAAGAAAGGGGTGACATTTTAGGCATCAGTCATAGCAAAAAGGTATGTTTTTATTATTTTAGTTATTTACTTATTTTGAGGGAATCCCTCTGACATTTTTCAAATACCCTAAAAAAGAAACCTGATACTATGTTTCTGCAGAAGTAAGGCCCCTGGACAGCAACTTTTCTTCCTGTCGCTGTATTTTATGTGTGCAAATACACTATGCAAGCTCAGCCCATTTTCCACTGTGTTGCAAGGATATAATTCTTCCCATAATGCATGATATCTTTTGGTATTAATAAACAAGGCTATATTTGGAGGTGGGAGATAGAAAAAGGGTTTTTCTTTGTACTGCGCTGAAATCATGTGACAGAGGCATGGCAGCTCCTTCCCTTCTACACTCTGGGTAACGTGAGCCTTCTGCCTGATATAAAGGGTTTCATGACTCAATTCCTAACCAGCTGCTTTGCCCATATCCTCTGGACATAATGTGGTACTGAGTTAGCAGGAGCCCAAGTGGACACTGTGGTCAGATCCAAACTAATGAGCGAAATATGAAAATTTTAGCCTTTCTTTTCTTTCTTTTTTTAAATTTATAATTGACACATAATAATTGTACCTATTTATGGGGTACCATGTGATGTTGGTGTGCATATATACCATGTGTAATGATCAAATCAGAATAATTACCATATCCATTAAATATTTATCATTTCTTTGAGGTGATAACATTCAAAATCTTCTCTTCTAGCTGTCTTGAGATATACACGGCATTGTTATTGGCTATAGTCATTCTACTATGTAATAGCACACCAGAACTTACTCTTACTGTCTATCATTTCTTACCTACTGACCAACCTTTCCCTCTCTACACTTCCCTCCCCAGCCTCTGGTAACCACTATTCTACTCCCTATTTCTAGGGAATCAACTTTTTTAGATTTCACATAAAAGTGATATCATGTGGTATTTGTTTTTATTTTCATAATCCATTCCTCAAATAAATATGCAGACATTTGAAAAAATAATATACACAGCATATTCTTACTGCCAGCATATATTTTACTAAGAATATTAATTTTTAATTGAATTCTTTCCAATTCTGCCTTAATACAGGATTCTCAACACTAACTGTACAAATTGACTAATCACTGGATCTGAAAGAGTTGTTGCCACCACCTGGTGCTACTAGTCATTCAGACAGGTAAATGGAACATAGTCATCTTGGTGCTTGATCAAGGGAAGAGAAGCCCTAATTCCCTTTGATCAATTGAACATAGTTGTCTTGAGTCACAGGAAATGGCCAGAGTGGGCTAAACTTGGACAACATTACAAAATAGCGATCCTAAGTCTAAGGTTGCAAGTCACGGATGTCAGAACAGAGTAGGAGTTTTAGAGTGTGAGGATGTAAGTTGGGTTGGCATATGGAATTCCAAAGCTGGCTGAGACATTGACAGGACCAGAGTCTGGTTATGAAACTATTAGAAGGAGTTTAAACTAGGCATAGAATATGTGTTAAGATATTATCCTGTTCCAGAGGAACAGCTTCTCTGACCAAATGCAAGAAGGTATTTCCTACAACAGCATACTTTGGTTATCACTCAATTATCTTGGACTGAATTTTAAAAATTAAATTTTGGTTAAAATTTTTAAATATTAAAAATTGAATATTAATTTTTATTTTTAATACCTTAAAAATTTAATAATAAATCTCCATTAAAGGAAATAAAGTAAAAAATTTTTTTCCCTCTTTTTTTGTCTTTTTTACTGACTTTTTATTTTTAATACCTTAAAAATTTAATAATAAATCTCCATTAAAGGAAATAAAGTAAAAATTTTTTTTCCCTCTTTTTTTGTCTTTTTTACTGACTGGTAATGGGATCGCAACCCTCGGTGTCGTGCCTGTACTGGGGACCGGCAACGGGATCGCAACCCTCAGTGTCGCGCCTGTACCGGGGACCGGCAACGGGATCGCAACCC